CCTTCGAGAGCGACAAATAAGAAGGAAGCTTGAAGACTATGGGCCGATAGACTTGGACACCATATTTGTCACAAACACTGCAAAACAATGGGTAGTAGAAGAAGAGGAGCCAGTGTTGCACAAGAGAGCATTCCTTGAGGCTATCGGTGAGGAAGATCTTGAAGTAGGTGATGAACAGCATGAAAGAGGAAGCAGCCTGCCAACATATTCACAGTTCGTCGGAGATGTCGGTAATATTACACCTAATGGGGGAGAGTGGGAAGGGGGTCTAAGGGAAAATAAGAGAGATAATGATTTTGAGGCCACCCAATCCCAGCTAAATTATTCACATATCGAGTCCCAACAACAAGAGGGTAGGGATGAGCACGATAGTGTAGGTGAGCATGAAAGATGGACAAGCTTTGGAGATTTGGATTAGGACCACAACAAAACACTAACACTCAGGGATTTAGGTATAGTCAAGTGCCCACTAATTTGGATGATTCATTTTTAAAACGAGTCAATGAATTGTAACGCGAATTCAATCAATGGCACCAGCGTGACCAAGATAAAGAACGACGTCGTCTGTCATTTTATTGTTAGATCGTATGTTATGAATTGTATGCTTTATTGTAGTCCATGTATGATGATATACGTAATCCATGATAATTCTATGTTTATCCTTTTGTGTGATGTAAATTAAATTGTAAATAGTAGTTCATGCAGGGAAAGAACATATTAATATTCGTATATTCATGCATAGAAATGAAAATTCTTAATGGAGTACCCTCATTTCTTATTGAATTCCTAAAAAATAACATTTATAATGAATTTTAATAATTTTTTTGGATTTTTTTTAAGGTTTAATCCGACCGATTCAGCTGATTCCCGATCCGGATCGCCGATTCATCGATCCGGATGGGTTTTTGAGATGTCCGATTCGGGTCACCGATCCGTTTTTTAAACCACTGGTATTGAGTATCTAAATTGTTGAGTAAATTAAGTAAAGAAAAAGTTCATATAAGTGTGAGGCTCTAAACAGTCAAATTAGGATGCATATAAATTTTTTTACTAAAAGAGGTTGTTTTAATGCCTAAAAATCCTCAAATTGATCATCTTGACCTCAAGATGCATGGACATGAGAAAAAATGGATTTCATGTTTTGGAATAGTGCATCTTGTAATGCATTTTTGGACTATCAATTTTCAAGATTTTCAAGTTTTCATAGATTTGCTTGATCTACACTTTTTTTGAAGTTTTAAATTTTTTAATTAGAGATTAAAATAAAATTTGAGGTTATTGAAACCACATTTCTCAACACTATTTGAGGGTACTCTTTACTTTGATTGATTAGAACCTTGGCCTTGTACAAATCGATACCCTTCATATAAGTTTCTTACTAGATATTGTATTAGTTTAATTAAGACTTTGGTCAATTAAGTTTTATTAGATATTTAATAAATAATTAGTAAGAACCGACCCAAATGTTACTCATGTCCAACCTATTGGCCTGGACCCAACCCACCAATTCAAACACCTAGACCTGGAACCTGCGGGGTCCATCCGACCCAATTGCCGGTTCTCTCGCTCTCTGACATTACAATATAAATTATTTAGGCCTTTTGGACCCAGACCAACAAGGCCCAACAAGGCCCACATCAAATATCTCTGTCTCCCTTGCCTAAAAAGCACGTGCAAAATGACGTTCATGTATAGTTCCAATTGAATTAACTGCCGATTTCCTGATTAGTTAATTATACACTAAAATATTGGAGCATAATTGAAGGCATATGCCATCAATATTGTTTAGGGAAAAGCATATCATAACTGGCATGTGCCGTGGTATATGACCGTCACGACGTTCACCGTCCGTTCTCAAGTACAGATGGTGGAGATCAACCATTAATTTAGGTTTATTTAATTTTACACATTTTTTAAAACTATAAGACAATTTATATTTTGTACAAGGAGGAGACAATTATTTTTAGCTATTGGATGTAATATTCAAAAGATTGAAGTGCGTCATAACATTCAAAAAATTTTATTTTTTGATATTGTGCCTAATCAATGACATATCGTTAACCATTAAATTTCACATTTTTCAAATGGTCAATAATGATTGTGTCCTCTTTATAGAGAGAAAAAAGAAAAAAAAGTCACAATTATATCCTCCTTAATACTATAAGACTATTTATGTTTTGTACAAGAAGGCTACATATGTTTTTAGCTATTGGATGTGATATTCAATAGATTGAAGTGTGTCACAACATTCGATAATTTTTATTTTTGACATTGTGCCCAATCAATGACACATCATCAACCATCCAACTTCACATCCATCAAATGGTCAATAATAATTATGTCCTCCTTATATATAAAAAAAAGGAAAAAAGTTATATAAAGTTGCAACCTTAAAATGTAGAATTACGGTGCACCTCAAAAATCCATCATAAAATATTATTTTGATGTTGGAAAACTCTTTAATTGATCATCTCAACATTGAGATGTATGAATAGGAAAATAAAAAAAGATTTTGAGTCTTAAAAATCATTTATCTTGCAACACTATATCTAGACCATCTATTTTCATGATTTTCAAATATTTATAAATCTACTTGATTTGAGCCATTTTTTGAGTTTAATATTATTTAATTAGAAATGAAAATAGATTCTCAAGCCATCTTAAAAATTTCTGATACCAAAATTATATATGTGATAAAATCTGAAGGTGCTCCTTAATTTGATTGTTTAAAGTTCGAACAATATACAAATTATACCCATAAAAAATATAAGGGAAAGTATAGGATGAGACCATTTTACCTTTGGTACAAGGTGGTCACATTAATCTTGACCATTGGATGTGATTTGGGTCGTTGCAATTATTCAAGCTCAAAATTCAAAAGAAATTTTGTCGAACTTTGTGACACATCCAAGCTATCAAATTTCATATCGAATGGTTGTAAGCAGTGTTTTAAAAATCGGCGAGTCGAACGGGACTCGGCTGATTCGACTCGAGAACCGGCACCGCCCGTGCCGGTTCCAGTACAAAATCGGGAACAGCCCGGTTCTACCCGATCCAGCCCGGTTCCCCACCGATACGCGTGGGACACACACGTGCACGTGTGCAATACGCACGTGCACGCACGTGTGAGGTTGCCCCAATATTTGTACACAAATGCTTTGATTCA